ATGCTTACAGGCACGTAGCTGCATACTATGTCCTTGTACTTTGACCAAGGCATCTGTGCTGGACGTGCTCACAGCCATGCCCCAGTTCCTCCTTTGCTTTTACCTGTTTAAAAAAGTTTTAAGTTATTAGCCAATCAGGGTTTTAGTTTAGATTGTGAGGTCTGACTCCAGTCAACCGAGATCAGACATAGCAGAAAGACAATCCCCCAAATGTGTGAGAAATAAATTTGTGCGTTCCTTTGTTCTTTGTACTCTCATGGCAAAATGGCTAGTGAGAGTACCCTTCCTGCAGTCCAGGAAGTAAAAACTGTGTTGCTGAAAGATCCTTTGTCTCAGTGCTAATTTGTGGCACCAAGCAACTATTTCCAACATCTACTCCCAACGAAGTACAACACACACTAGCATAAACACACATACGACAGGGTCTCACTCTGTCATCCAGGCTGAAGTGCAGTGGCAATCATAGTTCACTGTAGCCTTAACTTCTAGAGCGCAAGCGATCCTCCCACCTCAGCTTCCTGAGTAGCTGGGGCCACAGGTGCAGACCACCACATCTGGCTAATTTTAGTTATTTATTTATTTATTTTCTGTAGAAACAGGGTCTTGCCATGTTGCCCAGCTGGTCTCGAGCTCCTGGCCTCAAGCAATCCCCCTGCCTCAGCCTCCCAGAGTGCTGGGATTACAGGTGTGAGCCACCATGCCAAACCAGGAATATGTAAAAGGGTCTACAAACCTCATTGAGGAAAGAAGGGGCAAAAAGCAAAACCAGCCGAGACGGGTCAATAGTGGCCTGGAGGAAATCTGACCCACACAAGTTTGGCAGCAAATTGGTGGGAAATCATTCCAGAAGCAAATGTATTTTAAGAAACTCACTCTGATGCAGAGGTCCCAGGAAAGCAGTGTGGAGACGGGAGCAGCACCAGAAGGCCTCAGGCATCTACTCTAAACGCTAAGCTGCCACCATACTTTGAGGGCAGCCCCTCCTACTGGAAGAACAGCCTTAATCCATACATTGGAAAGCATGACTAACTGCAATTAGTAGGAAAATCCCAGAAAAAATAATTTTACCCTTGTCACTCAAAAACAGAAATGAACCAATACATTAACTTGAAAAAGCCATGGGGAATTTTGAGAGAATTAAGAGTCCCAAAAGAAAAAAATCAGAAAAAGTATTGTAAAGATATTACAATAAACCATTCATAGAATTTGGAAAGAATTCTTAAGGGGAGAGCTCAGACGATTGCAAGCTTTTGGGTTCGAGTTTGGATTTTTTTTTTTCTTTTGCTTGCTTCTTTCTTTTCTATTATGGAAATTTTCAAGCACATTTCTTTTTTTTTTTTTTTTTTTTTTTTTTTTTTTTTTTTTTTTTTTTGAGACAGAGTTTCGCTCTTGTTACCCAGGCTGGAGTGCAATGGCGTGATCTCGGCTCACCGCAACCTCCGCCTCCTGGGTTCAAGCAATTCTCCTGCCTCAGCCTCCTGAGTAGCTGGGATTACAGGCACACACACACGCCCGGCTCAAGCACATTTCAAAAGTAAAAAGTATAATATAAATAGTATAATAACCCTCTAAATACCCATCATCCACCTTCCACATGCATCAGCGTATGTTCAGTCTTATTTTATCTACATGCCAACCCACTTTCCCAAAGCCCTCACAAGACTATTTTAGAGCAAATGACAGACATCTTGATTTAATCTACAAAGTCTTATCTATGAATCTTTAATAATGACTCTTTTAAAAAACATATAACCATATTTACCATTATCATACTCAACAAATTAACAAAATTACTCAATGTCATCAAGTATCAGTCAGTATTTAAATTTTCCTGATTATCTTATTTTTTCAGTTGCATTATTCAAATCAGAATCCAAATGCTAGGCTGGGCGCGGTGGCTCAAGCCTGTAATCCCAGCACTTTGGGAGGCCGAGGCAGGTGGATCACGAGGTCAAGAGATCGAGACCATCCTGGTCAACATGATGAAACCCCGTCTCTACTAAAAATACAAAAAATTAGCTGGGCATGGTGGCGCATGTCTGTAATCCCAGCTACTCAGGAGGCTGAGGCAGGAGAATTGCCTGAACCCAGGAGGCGGAGGTTGCGGTGAGCCGAGATCGCGCCATTGCACTCCAGCCTGGGTAACAAGAGCGAAACTCCGTCTCAAAAAAACAAACAAACAAAAAAAGAATCCAAATGCTATTCACATATTTCACTGTAATATGCAATGGCTCTTACATTTCTTTCAACAGATAGTTTCTTCTGTTTTTCTTGCCATTTATTTGTTGATGAAATCAAGTCATTTTCCCTATAGGATTTGTTACATTCTAGATTTGATTAATTGTATCCTGAGTTGTTATTTAACACATTTCTCCATCTTCTGTATTTCACATAAACTGAAAATTAGGTCTAGAGGCTTGATAAGATTGAGGCTAGATCTTTTTGGAGGACTACTTCACAGGTGATGCTGTGTTCTTATTGCATCACACCAGTAAGTGCATAATGTCTGTTTCCCTCTCTTTTTGGAATATTAAAATTCATTGGTGGGTTCAAGTGTTGTCAGGCTGACCCATCATTATAAAGTTCCTCATCAGCCTCTCACCTATTGATTTTAGCAGCTATCAATAATCATTGCCTAAATCCATTATTTCATTCAAGCGTCAAAATAGTGATAATCTGTCATTTCTTCTGCATTCACTAGCTGGAATTCTTCTGTTAAAAAAAAAAAAAAGTTGGGGCCAGGAGCAGTGGTTCATGTCTGTAATCCCAGCACTTTGGGAGGCTGAGACAGGTGGATCACGGTGTCAGGAGTTTGAGACCAGCCTGACCACCATGGGGAAACCCCGTCTCTACTAAAAACACAAATATCAGCCAGGAGTGGTGGTGCATGCCTGTAATTCCAGCTTCAGGAGGCTGAGGCAGGAAAATTGCTTGAATCTGGGAGGAAGAGTTTGCAGTGAGCCAAGATTGCGCCACTGCACTCCAGCCTGGGTGACAGAGTGAGACTCCGTCTCAAAAAACAAACAAAAGGCTGGATGCAGCGGCTCACGCCTGTAATCCCAGGACTTTGGGAGCCCAAGACAGGTGGATCACTTGAGTGCAGGAGTTCGAGACCAGCCTGGGCAACATGGTGAAACTCCCATCTCTACAAAAAAAAAAAAAAAAAAAAGTGCTGAGCATGGTGGCAAGCATCTGTCATTCCAGCTACTTGGGAGACTGAAGTGGGAGGATCAACTGGGCCCAGGCAGTGTGTGTGTGAATAAGCCATTGTGCTGAGCTCCAGCCTCAGTGAGAAAGCAATACCTTCTCTCTCAAAAGAAAAAAACAAACAAAAGTACCATATTCACAATTTGGTTTACTTAACTTACATACAAGAAAAAGAAGATAAGTGCTTGATTTTTTTTCCTTCACCAATTTTTAGAATGAGTTGGTTTCTTAACATTCTTCAAGAATAACCAGTTAGTTTGGCTGCAAATCCAACAATGCTAAGATGGCACCAAATGCCACCATCTAAGAAGGGAATGGACCCCTGACCCTACTGAACTGATAAGTTCCCTTAGAAACTGATGGTCCCTCAGCCAGTGGAGTAGGGCAGCAGACAATCATACACTATTGTCACAATTAATTCATTCTTGAGAAATCATCAAAATGAATAATCATTTATAGATGACAGATCCTAAGTGGTTACTATTCATGAAAACCAAAAATTTTTAGAAGCATCAACAAGGTAGAAATCCAAGGTTTTAATAGTCCATCTCCACTGGCAGTGGAAGTATGTGGTAAAGTATGGTGACGCTGGAAATAGAGCGCTAATTCGGGAATTTGAGGTAGCAGTAACGGGAACCTGAGAATGAATCATTGGAATCAATGTTTCTGGGGGAAAACATAAATTGGAAGAATGAAAAATTCAAGATTTTATGCTTATAGGAAAGGCTAATAAGTAGTTTGCTAAAATGTTCTTCGTAAAGTACCCAGGTCAGAATCAAGAGAGATCCATAGCTCTTGTTTACCTGCATCTACTGGAGGCTACTGATACCTACAAAAAGAAGCTAATAATTGAGAAGGGTCAAAGTGGATTAGATCAGTTTGCACAAGACTCAGGCAAAATGAGGAAAAAGAAGTGTCAATTGAATTTGGCAACATGTATGTCACAGATGACTTGATCACAGTAGTTTCCGTGACATGATGGGGTGAAAGCCCTGGAGTAGGTGGAACAGTGTGGGGTTAACAATGCTTTTAAGAAGTTTTTCTAGAAAGGGGAGCAAAGAAACCAGATGCTCCTGGAAGGGTATCTAAGGACAACTGAGGTTTATTTATTTTTAAAAACAGAGATGGGATCTCACTATGTTGGCCAGGCTGGTCTTGAACCCCAGGCTCTCCCAGCTCCATGACCCCTGCTCCCACTGCAGGGGCACATGCTGTCCTGCCATTCTCCTAACCCTGGAAGGCCGACTCTGGCCAGAGGCTCTGGGACTCACCTCAGTGAGACCTGTCATATCACATCCAGCCATAGTGACAGCTTAGGGAGCTGCCGGGGAAACGGAGAAACCCACACCCACAAGGTGACTAATGAGTCATTACAGACAACACTGAGAGATTAAGGTTCTACCCCAACCCAAAACGTGGGTGGCATATGAATAAACAAGGTCTAGTTTAGATAAAGAATTTCTTTTTTTCTTTTCTTTTTTTTTTTTTTTGAGACGGAGTTTCGCTCTTGTTACTCAGGCTGGAGTGCAATGGCGCGATCTCGGCTCACCGCAACCTCCGCCTCCTGGGTTCAGGCAATTCTCCTGCCTCAGCCTCCTGAGTAGCTGGGATTACAGGCACACGCCACCATGCCCAGCTAATTTTTTGTATTTTTTTTTTAGTAGAGATGGGGTTTCACCAAGTTGACCAGGATGGTCTCGATCTCTCGACCTTGTGATCCACCCGCCTCGGCCTCCCAAAGTGCTGGGATTACAAGCTTGAGCCACCGCGCCCGGCCTAGATAAAGAATTTCAATCCTTCTGTAGTTCATGAGCACGATGATTGGGTGTTCACACACTTGTGTGAGATGTGCCATCCTTGAACCTTGTTATGATGTCAGCACATTACCCATCTGACCGAAAAAAAGAATTTCATACTGGAAATTTAAGGCTCAGAGAAGGTCTAGTGTTAATCTGGAAAATCTTTGTTATGCTTTAAAATCCTATTATAAAATATAAGTGGCTGTAATCCCAGCACTTTGTGAGGCCGAGGCGGGTGGATCACCTGAGGAGTTCCACACCAGCAAGACCAACATGGTGAAACCCTGTTTCTAATAAAAATACAGAAATTAGCCAGGTGTGGTGGCATGCGCCTGTAGTTCCAGCTTCCCAAAAGGCTGAGACAGGAGAATTGCTCGAACCCGGGAGATGGAGGTTGCAGTGAGCTGAGATCATGCCAATGCACTCCAGCTTGGGTGACAGAGCAAGACTCTGTCTCAAAAAAAAAATGTACATATATATATATATATATATGATTTGAAAAGGCGGATTTCTACACTACTACATCTATTGGATTGAACATCCTCTAGTTTACTATAGGTCTTAGACCCTCTAACTTTGTCTTGACTTTAGATAGCAATGGTTTTTATACTTTTTGTCTCCCTCACTAGACAGCTCTTTGAGGCCAGGACTATATTCCCATAGTTTCTCTTAAAATAATACTCACTGTGTACAAATTGTCACCTTTTATTAAATGTATGTGTTTACTGTAAAAACAAGAGTTGGACAACATAATGTAAGCTGAAAACCAGACTACGGAATCTGGCCTGGGTTTGGGGAATGGAGAGGATAAAGACTTGGATTTCATTCAAGTTGATTTTACTTTGGTTTAGTTTTGGATGAACTAAGAAGCAGAGCAAAGAATGTAAACAAGATAGAGATGCAGGAGGATAAACATGGCTTCCCACTGCCTCCTTTGTATGTCCCAGAATACACACAAAGTTTGCGTTCTTGCCAATTCTGCACAGCAAGGTATCTACCAGGTCAAAGAGGCAGAGAATGACAGCCTCCCAGCCTTCTATATTCCCAGTTATATCAGCTCAGAAACAACTTATACTACCATATAAGGTGATCATTCTTAGACTCAGTGAACCATGCTATCCAGGTTCTGGGCCTTGAAATTCGTTTGATGCCCACAGTCAGGCAGGTTCCCATTTTCTGTGGCTGCATGGCAGGGCCTAGGAATTTTCCACCTCATCTTCCTGTGTTTCTTTGTGGGCAGGCCTTGGAAAAACAATGAGAAATCCATATATAAAATGAAACCCAAGTTATCAACAGATGGGGTAGAACAATTATGGTTGCTCTCACACAGTTTAACGTTAATTCCTAATTGCACAAATATGTATGATGTGCTTACCGTGTGCTTGGCCCTGAAGATCCAAAAGTAAATAAAACTTAGGCTCTGCCTTCTGCCTCAAGTAATCCTGTAGTCTAGTTAAATTCATCATGCCTCTCTGCAATGACCATTTTTTAAATAGAAGGTAGGCAGCCAAGAAACAGGATACTCTGGTTAAAACTTTTTTTAAAGTATATTATTAATTCCAGGTTGTTTAATAACCTTTTGATCTCTTTTGGTTTTCTCCCATCTCTCCTTTCTGTGCTGTTTCCCTTAAAATAACACTCAGTGCACACATTGTTTTCATTAAACGGGTATGTTTACTCTAAAAACAGAGCTAAGAGTTATCAATGGGCAGATTCTTCCTGCTCAGGCCTCCTGAGTCTCTAAACAGTGCATGACTCACAGAAAATGCAAAGAGGTTCATTCTGGTTGTCAGATGCAGAGTGCTAGGAGGGCCAAATGATAGAAACAGAACTTAATCATTTTAGGATTTCAGGACTATCACTGTGGAAGAAGACCAAGGGTGAATGCATGAGTCAGCCTGTAGACTCTGTACAATTCTAAATTCTAGCCTCATCTAAAGAAAATGAGCCTGTTTTCATGAAAATGCACCTTTTGTATTTCTTATGAATGGGTAACTTAATAAGTGTCTGTATTTATTAATATAACTGATCCCTGAGTTTGGAGATATAAAATATTCTAAAAGAATTAATTTAGTCTAGGGAACATCCTCTTAGATAGTAAGTCTATAGATGGCTTCACAGTACAGATGCCTCAGGGCCTGTGAACCTACCATTTCCAAGGTTATAGCTTGCTTCCTTCAGGGCTCAGCACAAATATCATCTATTAGAGAGGCCACTGCTGACCACCTTATATTAATAGTACCTCCCTGCAACGATTTTACTCCATCATCTTCATTCTGATTTTTCTTCATACAACTTGTTATCACCTGATATCTTATTACGGGAACATCCAAGTTTTGTGGGGCCTGAAGTTTTTATGATCTGGGGGGGACACTTTTTAAAGAAACAAAATATAAAAATTATAATTAAAAGTTAAGTACGAAAGTGAATATTTATTAAGAATGTGAAAATAAATCATGAATTCCTGGAGTCTTGGAGCTTCAGTTCTTCCTTCTAAAATTTCTTTAGGCAATCTACTAGAAATGCTTACATAAAATGTCTAGTCGTTGTAACCTGGCTTCCACTTGCACCTAGAACATTCTATAGCCCTCAGCAATTACCAGCCCTCCCTGGGGTATCACAGCAAATCTGACTCTGCATCCTAAATATCAATCTGATTGTTTATTGTCAGTCTGTATCAATGGAATGTCTTAAGCTTCTTGAGAGCAAAGATTTAATTTTCTATGTTGCTTTATGCCCAGTGCCCACAATAGGAATAGGCACAGAGGAGCGTATTATACATGCTTGTTTAATAAATTGTATCTCTCCCCAGAAATTCACACTTTAGCTAAATAAGTACAAACGCATTTTAATTTGACAGAAAGATTGAGTGAATAATTTGTAACCATCTACTAACAAGATTTGAAAGAGACAGGTACTTAATAGTACTTTCAGACACATGATTTCTGCTCTGAATTTGCACTCACCCATGATTTCTGTGACTTTAGGGAGTAACAAATAGAAAATGCACCTACCTACCAGGTTTTCTTCCCTGGAGGCAAAATAAAATAAATAAATTGACCAGTTTCTTACATATTCTTTCTGAAATATGCTTTGAAGGTATTAGCAGATATTTATATATTTTTCTTTTTCTTGCACAATTTATAGCATATTATACTCACAGTTCTGTACCTTGTTTTTGTTTTGTGATTTGTTTTTTTAATGTTTCTTGGAGCTTACTAATTTTTTTGGCTGCGTAATAGTCCATTGTGCAATAGCATCTTATTTAATCCTCTATATGAACATTCAGATTGCTCTCAGTCTTTTGCTGTTATAAACAATGCGACAGCCTTGTACATACACACACCACTTCATACATATGTAAGTGTGTCTGTAGGATAAATCCATAGATGTGTGTTTGGATCTTAGGGCAATAAATGACACTCCTCATCCTCACCCAAATTCCAAGCCAATTAGGAGATAAGACAAAAGAGGCAGACAGGTGATTAAAATGTCACCTTCATTACTGATGAGAGCTGATGCTCAACCATGTGGCTTACATTTGCAGATAAGAGAGCATCCCAATTCTGGATCTCTTTCCATTTAATCATAGGAAATATACTTCAAACAGAGGTCTCCCCATAGCAGGTTTTAGGAAGATGATGGGCTGAATGGAGACTTCCCAGCTTATTCTTCACAAATTTAATAATTAGAGGAGTCACCCCTCCTTTCTTAGGGAGAAGCAAGTGAGGAGGAGAAGAAAGGCCAGGGGCATTTAGGAGAGATACTTCAGCCTGGGAGTACACATCAAGAAACATTCTCACCCTAACAAAATACTCTTCTGTTCAAAAGGACCTTCTTTTCATAATTTTAATAAAGTTTTCTCAGTTGTTTACCAGAAATGTGTCCATTTACACTCCTTCCAGGTAAGCATGGATATACACCCAGGAATATAAGAAAACTTAGCATAAGATAAATGTTTTTCAATTATCCTTGGCCTATTCATGTCTTACTACCTCAGAGGTTTTTCTTGAATCTTCTTTCATTATTCTGAAATATAACACAGCAGATTTTTATTTTATTTTATTTTATTTTAGAGACAGTCTCATTATGTCACCCAGGCTGGAGTGCAGTGGTGCAATCTTGGCTCACTGCAACCTCCGCCTCATGAGTTCAAGTGATTCTTCTGCCTCAGCCTCCCAAGTTGCTGGGACTACAGGCATGTATCACCACACCTGGCTAATTTTTGTATTTTTAGTACAGATGGGGTTTTGCCATGTTGGCCAGGCTGGTCTCAAACTCCTAACCTCAGACAATCTGCTTGCCTCGACCTACCAAAGTGTTGGGATTACAGGTATGAGCCACTGTGCCTAGCCCAGAATTTCAATTATAATGGCTTCACAGCATTTTAATGTCTGGCAGAGACTCTCAATTGTCACAGTATCCAGTGATCCCATCTTCCTGCTTGAAACCAGACTCTCTGACCTTTCACCCGGGCCTGTGGTTGCCCATCTTTGTGTGAGTCTGCTGTAGCACACATGCATATAATGGTAAGAACTTTGACTTCAACTCTGAGTGACGTGTGGAGTCATGGCAGGGATGTGAACAGAGGATTGACATCTTGTAGACTAACCTGTAACTATCTGCTCATAAGGAAAGCCTGGTAAAGTGCAAGGCAGTTCTCTAGTCAAAGAACTGACTGCTAAGTAACCCCAAGACTGGAAGTAAAGCTGCTGTACAAGTTAAGGACACTAGGCCACTGGAGAACTGGGCAGGGGCTCTCCTTTTCCTCATCTCAAATTCTCAATGTTTGGGGTTGTTTTGTTGTTGTTGTTGTTGTTGTTGTTGTTGTTGTTGAGACAGGGTATTGCTCTGTTGCCCAGGCTGGAGTGCAGTGGTGTGATCTCAGCTCTCTCTAGCCTCAACCTCCTGTGACCAGGTGATCCTCCCACCTCAGCCTCCCAAGTATCTGGAACTACAGGCACATGCCACTATGCCCAGCTAATGTTCTGTATTTTTTACAGAGGCAGGGTTTTGCTCTGTTGCCCAGGCTGGTCGTGAAATCCTGGCCTCAAGCAAACCACCCATTTTGGCCTCCCACAGTGCTGGGAAAACAGGC